AGGGTGACATCCCTTAGGGTCCCGAGTTGGAACACCTGGATTTGCTAGCCATGCAACTCCGATGGTTGTTCAAGATTATAAACCGGTCTCACAACTCACCACAAGTCCTTTCAAGTTAAAAATGAATGTGTATATTGTTAATACGAGTCATCTAATCAATCGATTTAAACTCTACTCAACTCTAGTCACGTCCACTTTGGGAGATTTTTGAGGGCATTACCCAACCTGAAATCTCTAGAGCACCACATTCGAAAATTACTCGCACGCTTAATTCTAGAGTTTCTTAAAGTAGACTTCCGAAAAAATATATATTGTTGATATGAATAGTCAAATCAATCAACTTGAACTTTACTCAATTGAAGGGGCCAGGTATCAGAGATCCCAACATCGAATCTCTAAAGACAGCGCCCAAAGTCCTTGCACATAGCCACAAAGTTTGTTGTACGTTGTCAATGTGGGCAATCAACAGTTGGTCCTAGAAGAACCATGATCTTGGCCACCCAAGGAGGCTGCCATGTGAATTTAACTAAAGTATCCACATTTGAATCAACACCTTAATGTCCACTTGATGCATCTGAGAGTCCGATACTCTGTTATGCCTGTTGTAACACCAACTTTGTATACTAATCATGTGATGTATGGTGATCACTCTAGGGTGACAACACATGAATGCTTGACAAACAACTATGTGAAGTAATTGAAGTTTTGACATTTTATGAAATGGTAATTAACTGCATCAAGGAGAAAGCCCAGATGTGCTACTTGAATATTTTATGGCCAAGAAGCTCTAACGCCTATCAAGGTCGATAGATCTCATTGCGTGGTTACCCAAACCTCTCCCAGTGAATCCTTCATTGCATCTAGAGCTGCATTGACTATTATAACAACTCTTGGCGGGATGTGCATTCCTATTATTGGTCTGATACAAGTCATTTGTAACCTGACTCCAACCTCTTATCTAGGTATTTTGCAATTTTTTTTTTTTTTTTTTTTTTTTTTTTATATTTTGACATATTTCGCCTATGTTAGGTGCTATCTAAAGAATTATTTGTTGCCCTACCAGACCCCTAACATACCTTTGGTGTTGACATCATTTGGTCGTTCCATATCATCATCGTATTGAATGGGTACTCTACTATCTGTCTATGTATTTGTGGCCTATGATAGATACCAAGCATGTCTTTAAGTAACCAAATAGGAAAAGTGATTGTGTTTGACTAGGGGCGGACAGAGGTGTACAAGAGTGGTGGCATGTGCCACCGGTGATTTTATTTCACCAGAAGAATATTTTCATAATTTAATAAGTGTGCTACCAGTAAAATTCTTAGTGCTCTTACTTAAAATTTAAAATGTTACAATTATCCAAAAATATTTAGTGGCTGGTCGCGCGGTCAATCAAATAATTAACCTATTCCGTGATCACAATTCAATATAATACAGGAGAAGAGATCGTCTCCATAGGGATTGTGTGATTCACTCTTTCGCGTTCTAATGCAGTAAATAAAAAGGGGGAATTTTCTTTTATTATCTAATGAAGACAAAATAACAAAACAGTTAAACTAACGGAGAACTAGTTATCAAGGTAATGCCTGGCTCAAGGGATGATGCAGTTATGACACTTGCGTTTTATCATTAATTCAATAAAGTTAGTTCTTATTAAAGTATCAATAAATTGGTTATAGTTATCAACAAGCTCCGACAACCAATTTTTCCTTACAGTGTAGATAATTAAGGTACGACCGTTAACTATCCTTGATTAAGCTAACAAACCTAGGTACGCCTATAGGAAATATTGCCTAATTGCATTCTAATATAGAAAAACCCAATTCAAAATAATTACTACCTAAGAGGAGCAATTAGATTCGATTGTCTAACCTCCGAGAAGGAATTATTCAACCCGGTTGTTACCTATTCAATTTCGAATACAATTACGGATATCCTACCTGAATTGACTTTGGATTATCAGACTAATTTAAATATCGGTACCAAAATATCCAATCAATCAAAAAAATCACAAACGTTATTTTTAGAATTAGACAAATATTGATAATTAAAAAAAAACTTTTATAAAGAAAATCAAGAATCTCTAAAACACAAGAACCAAAACATTATCATCCCTCAAACCAGAAAAATATCTACTCCATAATCAAATAACAAAGAACAATAAAGAAAGAGAAAGTCATAGTGGGAGGGGAAATATTCTCTGTCGATTTGCTCATGCGCGGTCTGTGAGTCTGTCAGTCTCATACTCTTGTGCGTATCTGATCTGGCCGTTCTCTCATTCATTTCTATGTGTGATCCTCTCTTTTTATTTAATTTTTGACCTAATTATTATATAGTTGGACTTTTGGGCTTTAATTAAATTTCAATGTCAAGAGGGTGTAGTTAGTCATGGCCATAACTAACTAGGTGGTGCAAATCTGAATTTTTCTTTTCTGCAATTACGCTAAATTTGATATTTGCCCTCTGCACACACCAAATAAACAATACGCATATAAATTAGGTATAACTCAATCAAAATCAATCAAATATCGCATATAATATGAACATTTAACATATGCGATTTCTAACTATTAAATCTCCCCACACCTATATCATGTTTGTCCTCAAACATAGATTCAAAATAAGCTAAAGAAATCGCAGGTGACTCAATATGACAAGAAAATCCAACACAACCAATTCAATCCGAAATTCAACACATCGAGCCAAGTCAACCTCACAAGATAAAGTGTATTTGCACATGCTCTCTGAAAGAATTAAGTATATAATTGGCTGAACACTCAGCTAGTGCAACAAAAAATTATCCTATAGGCTTGAGTAAAAATCAAATCTCCCTTATTGAAATATTCAAATCTAGCATAAAGAATCAAATGGACTTTAAATAAGGGTTGTAGCAGGGCTTATGGTCTGGGGAAAAGGATATACAAGGGCTAAAATATGTCAGAAAATAACACAATAAGAACACGATGCTAGCATATGAAAAACAAATCGCCATAAACAATGAAATCCTTATTCTATTTACTACCCAAACTTCAATAACGAAATTAAATAAAAATACTTCATTAAAATGATTAATTTTTTTTTTTCTTTTTCTCTTTTTTTTTTTAATTTTTTTTATTTCTTTTTTTTTGATTTTTTTAATTTTTTTTTATTTTTTTGATTTTTTTGATTTTTTTTTGGCTTTTGCCTTTTTATATATATATATACCTTCACTACCTATAATCATTCTTGCATACTACGACTTATTCGTACCCAAATTTTATTTCTAACTAGTGCCGAAGAAATAAAGTGCATCACAACATGGACTTAAAGTAACTTTTTATAATATAGGGTTCAAATCGGAGAAGGCTTAATCAAAAGAAGGGTATTAGGCTAAAAGACAATTTATTATAAAAGAAACAATAGGCTAAGAAGTCTCAAATGGGCTAACTAGGGGAATATATTGTGTTGGGTGATAAAGAAAGACTTAATTGGGTTACCTATTCACGTTCTCATTTTCAAAACGCAAGATTGCAAGTTCAACATGCATAATCACTCAAGTTCTAGGTCATCTAATTAAGCACTACAAATTACACATGAAAGAAATTTCCAAAAGCTTGAATATATGAAATTTATTTTCTAATTTAACTTTTGGAAATAGGGTCAACTCTCACACAGGGTTCAAACGTCGACTTGACCCAACATATCACCAATCAAATGTTATTAATCATGCTAGACAAACCTATCACACAAACCACATTTGACTCACTTCAGACTAATCTAAAAACATGCGAAAGAACAACAAATCAGGCATAAAAGTAGCACAAAATGAAAAAATTTGCCCAAACATTTTGCATAACTCTCTCCCCACACCTAAAACATACATTGTCCTCAATGGAAAGAAAGCAATAGAAGAAGAAAGGGACTTCCCTGGAGTCCGTAGGGGGTGGAACAATTGCGAGCTTTTGTTTTGCTTGTCAATGCCTTTAGAGTTGCGCATACGCCATTTTTAGGGAGGCTTGAAGTGTCTCATGAGTTCTCTGCAAAAATAAAGTAGTCAAGCACAACAAAGTATCCAAAAGAACGTTTGATAATAAAAGATCATAACAAAGAATGTGAAGTCCTAACAAACCAAAACAAGATTTAACAAATAGGGAGCCCAAATTTCAGCCACACTATAGTTATAATCGAGCCAATGCAATATCTAGCCACCCAAAATCGAAACATAGAACTCCAAGGATCATAGAGACAAATACAACCTTTGAGTCAACCAAGCGAGTTCAATGTGCAATTCAAATTGTCAATTGGGACTAACATGCCACAACGCTCTCACTGCTAATAAAAATCGAATTCAAAGCTCACACCAAAATTCCTAGTTACTTGTCACAGGAGTTCTCAATTGGCAAATTCAGAACATAAATCGCTCTATCTCAACATATTATCCCAAAATTGAAGATTGAAAGTAGTAGAAATAGTGGGACGAAGAGATACTACCGAATATCGGAGAGCAGAACGACATCGGCGGTTCACAGAGCAGCGATGCAGTGGAGAAAGGGCAAAGTCTCCGGGACTGTCTTCGGTGGCTGGTTGGTTTCGGCTGGTTCGGCTGGGCGCAGGACAATTCGTCGGGGGGAGGTGACGGTTGTTCGGCGAGAAGGAGAGAAGGAGAGAAGAGTGTCAAGTTATGGAAAGAGAAGAGAAGCAGAGAATTAAGAAGATTGAAGACAATGGTGATAAATTGGGTTAGGTTATAATGGGCCTATTTCATTTTGCTGTTGTATTTTATTTGGTTGATTTAGGTTTATTTTTCTTGGGCCAGCCCGTTAGGTTGTCAAAGTTTGTTAGAGGTAGATTCTTTGTATATATCATCTTCTTCCTTGGTTACTCAACTGTAAGATACACAATAGTTGTATTTTCATTTTCTTCATGGTATTAGAGCGCCTAGGGCATTGGGATTACTGCTCTGCGATTAAAGGATCATTATTTCTCTTTATCTGATTGGGAGTTCTCAACCTTGAATCATGTCAATTGATTCTTCTGCCTCTGATGTACAGAGCTTGAATGCAGCGGCTCAAGTGGTAACATCTATGGCACACTTGGAGTTGCATCCATCTGATCAACCTGGTATGAGCTTGATTACTACCCAGCTCAATGATACTAACTACCTACTGTGGAGTAGGGGGATAATGCGTGCCCTGATTGCAAAAGGAAAAGAAGGTTTTATCACGGGTAAAATCTCTAAGCCAAATGATGTAGCCTCAGCCATTGTTTGGAGAAAGACTGACAACATGATACTACAATGGATCCTCAACTCTATTGCATCTCACTTGACTGATGCCTTTGGATATGTGAGCACCAGTCATGAACTGTGGGAATACGGCCAGTGCAACGGCCCCCTAATCTATCGTCTTCGAAGGGAAATCTCTGGCTTATCTCAAGGTGGACTGAGCTTGGTTACCTACTTCACAAAATTGAAGAAACTAAAGGATGAACTAAGGTGCTTGGCTCCCATGCCTGAGACCAAAAATGAGATGGATGAATACATCAACAAACAAGACATCATTGATTACTTGATGGGGTTAAATGACTCTTATGATGCTGTAAGAAGTCAGATTCAGATGATGGACCCCCTCCCATCTCTCAACAATGTGTATGGAATACTATCAAATGTAGAAAAGCAACAGAAAATACATGGTATGCTTCATGAAACACATCCCACTATATTGATGAGCTTTCACAAGCATGCTGTTAAAGTTACAGATAAGAGAAAGATTGACAAAAGAAGCATAATCTGTGAACATTGCAAGAAGACATGTCACAACAAGGATACATGTTTCAAGCTAAATGGAACACCTGACTGGTATAAGGCCATACAAGAAAGGAGAAAGAGTGAAATGAAGGGAGCTTACATTGTCACAGAGCAACAGACTGCAATGCAAGTTGCTGATGACAGTGGTTCTTCTGTCTTCAATCCATTGCTATCCACCGATTCCCTAGCCGAGTTAATCCAAAGAGAAATTCAAAAGGCCTTTATGAAGGCCAAAACTCCACCTGATCATTTGAACATGCTTGAGGTGGAGCATGCTGGTAAGGAGTTTATGAATCTTTATACAGACTTTGATGATAAATGCTTATGGATTCTTGACTCAGGTGCTACATGTCATGTGAGCAATAACTTATCTCTTTTTAAACACTTAAAACTCTTGAAGAAGCCAGCTAAGATTCACTTACCTAATGGAACAACTTAGCTTGCAACACACACAGGGAGTATAGAGCTAAATCAGTCAATTACTCTTTATGATGTTTATCATATCCCTGACTTCAAATACTGTTTGATCTCAATTCATAAGATGTGCCTGGACTCTGATCTATGTGTGAACCTTGTGGCTAATTCTTGCTCTATTTAGGACCGGACAAGTAGATGTGAGATTGGAAAGGGGAGACTAAAAGGGCATCTCTATTACTTGTGGTTAAATCCCTCACTGGAAGTTATGGCTGCTGATGAAGAAGTTTCCTGGCACTTCAGGTTAGGTCATCCATCCGATAAAGTGTTACAACACTTATCCAAACCTGTTTCTCCTAATGCGCCTTGTGATGCTTGTCATTATGCAAAGCAAAAAAAACTCTCATTCAATAAAAGTACTTCTTATGGAAACTCTTGTTTTGAGTTGATTCATGTTGACATATGGGGTCCTTATAGTCAGGCATCTTTGAATGGTAGTAGATACTTCTTAACAATTGTGGATGACCATAGCAGAAGCGCTTGGACTTATTTGACGAAACTGAAATCACAGGCTCCAATCATACTTTCAGTCTTCATTAAACTTGTTCAGACTCAATACAGAACCAAGGTCAAAACCGTAAGGACGGATAATGGAGCAGAGTTTTTGAGCCATAACTTCCAAAATTTGATGCAGGAAAATGGAATTCTACATCAAAGGTCTTGTCCTTATAGGCCACAACAAAATGGAAGAGTTGAGAGAAAACATCAACACATCTTGACAGTAATGAGGTCTCTGCTATTTCACTCAGGACTTTCTGCTATATTTTGGGGAGAAGCTCTTCTTGTAGCAACTTACATTATATATTTGCTTTCTACTCCTGTCATTAACTGGAAATCTCCTTATGAGGTTCTCCACAAATTCACTGCTAACTTGGAACATTTAAGAGTGTTTGGATGCTTATGTTATGCATCAAACAATGATCCTTCAATGACAAAGCTTGACAAAAGAGTTGTTAAGGGCATCTTTGTAGGATATGAACGGGGCACAAAGGGATATAAGGTGTTTGATCTTGATTCAAACAAAATACTAATTACAAGGGATGTTTTCTTCTATGAGCATATATTTCCAGGTTTCACACATCAATCATCATCGCACTCTTATGCACAACAGACTGATGTGCTTTCTAGCCCAGTGAGGTTATTTGAAGATGATCAAGTAAGAAGAATGAGTTTTTCAAGTTCTGCAAATTCTACTGCTGATTCAACTATTGAGAAAGTGAGGTATGAGGTCATCTCAGAGTATTCTGCTCCCCCTGAACCCTCACTCTCATCCAAATATGTTGTTGGTTGTGAATCCTCACTCTCATCCAAAGATGTCACTTCAAGATCTGCTACAACAGCGACTGAAGACAGTGTACTTGCTACCCTTGAGATGGAAGGGAGACAACCAAGAATCACAAGAAAGCCATGTTGGATGAAAGATTATGTGTGCGCTCATGATACACTTGAAAATGCAATAGAAGAGCCCTTCACTTACTTAGAGGAAGCTAAGAAACAAGAATGGATTGAAGCTATGGATGAAGAAATAAAGGCATTAGAAGCTAATGGGACTTGGGAATCAACCTACCTTCCTGAAGGTATGAAAGCAATAGGGAGCAAATGGGTATTCAGAATTAAAAAGAATAAGGATGGCTCTATAAATAGATACAAAGCAAGATTGGTGGCAAAATGTTACTTGAAAGTGCATGGAATTGATTATGATGATTGCTTTGCACTAGTGACTAAAAGCGTCACTGTAAGGCTTATGCTTGCCATAGCTGTCTCAAAAGGATGGATTGTTCAACAAGTGGATGTCAACAATGCATTTCTTCATGGTACATTGGACGAAGAATTGTATCTTAAACCTCCACTCGGCTACCACACCCATCCAGGGCAAGTCTGCAAGCTGAGGAAATCTCTCTATGGGCTTAAACAGGCTCGTCGTGTATGGTATACAACACTTACTGAGAAAGTACTTCAGTTTGGATTTGATCAGTCCACTCATGATCATTGTTTATTCGTTAAGCATGTTGGGACTGACCTACTGATTTTAATAACATATGTGGATGACATACTGTTGACAGGCTCATCTCCTAATCTCATTCAAAAAGCAAAAATGTTTTTACATGAGGCCTTTACAATTAAGGACTTGGGAGAGGCAAACTTCTTTCTTGACATAGAATTCAAACATCGAAAGAATGGTTTAGCCTTATCTCAGAGACAATATATATTTGACATATTGGAGGACATGAAAATGCTAGATGCAAAATCAGTGTCCACTCCTCTGCCAGCCGGATTGAAGCTATCATTCAAAGATGGTGATGAACTCAAAGAGCCTTCTCAGTACAGAAGGCTTATAGGAAGACTACTTTATTTGAATTTTTCCAGACCTGATGTTGCATTTGCAACACAACAGTTGAGCCAATTCATGGACAGACCTACATCATCACACTGGAAAGCTGCTCTCCACCTACTTCGATATCTTAGAGGGACAATGAATCATGGTCTTGTGTTTGATGCAGATTCCTCACTTCAGCTAGAAGCTTATTGTGATGCAGATTGGGGCACTTGCCCGGACTCTCGAAAGTCTATAACTGGGTACTGCATATTTATTGGATCCAGTCTCATCTCTTGGAAAGCAAAAAAGCAGCCTACTGTAAGTATATCCTCAACTGAAGCTGAGTATAGAAGCATATGTACCACAACATGTGAACTCCTTTGGATCTTGTACATCCTCAATGCCTTAAAGGTGACTGTTTCATTGCCAATTCCTCTTCATTGTGACAACCAATCAGCTCTTCACATTGCAAAAAATCCTGTATTTCATGAGAGAACCAAACATATTGAAATAGCATGCCACTTGGTTCGATGTCATTTTCTTAGAGGCTTCATTACATTGGTGCATGTACGAAGCAAGCTCCAAATTGTTGATATCTTTACAAAAGCTCTACCTGGACCATTATTCAAAAACCTTCGTACCAAGCTGTGTGTGGACACGCTCGGTTCGAGGGGAGGGTGTCAAGTTATGGAAAGAGAAGAGAAGCAGAGAATTAAGAAGATTGAAGACAATGGTGATAAATTGGGTTAGGATATAATGGGCCTATTTCTTTTTGCTGTTATATTTTATTTGGTTGATTTAGGTTTATTTTTCTTGGGCCAGTCCATTAGGTTATCATAGTTTGTTAGAGGTAGATTCTTTGTATATATCGTCTTCTTCCTTGGTTAATCAACTGTAAGATACACAGTAGTTGTATTTTCATTTTCTTCAAAGAGGAAGATCGCGGTGGGAGACAGAGCAGGAGAAGAGGGTGATGGCCGGTCTGGGCGGGGTTTGGCGAGGGCGACGTGACTGGCTGGTATCAAACGGGGGAGGAAGAAAAAGAGGGAGAAGAAGAAGAAGAAGAAGAAGAAGAAGAAGAAGAGAAGGAGAAGGAGCAATCGGCGGTTCGGCGCCGTTCTGGGCAGAGGATTGACGCGGCGAAGGGGTGGAGAAAATCGACGCGGGTGTGAGAGAGAGAGAAAAAGAGAGAGATTAGGATTTAGGAATTTATTTATTTATTTTTGAAGATTTAGGGTCAAAATTGGATAGAGGGAGGGGAGAAGTAGACAGTGTGATAGGTAGTGTTTAGTCATGGTCATGACTAAATACTCTCTATCATTCTAAAAATTGGATGGGTGGGTGAAAAAAAAAGAAAAAAAAATTAGCATGGGAGGTACCAATTAGTTATGACCATGACTAAAAGTTACCTCTTGATCTGAATTTTTTTTTTTGGTTAAGAAAGTCGATTGCACCTATGCCAAGAGCCAGTAATTATTTTTAAAAGACCTACACAAAATCAAACAAAACCATCAAAAGTATTAAGGGCATTTAAACAACAAAAAAAAAAAACATTAAAGAAAACAATTAAATGATTTGGGTTGTCTCCCAAAAAATGCTTTTCTTTATAGCCTTTGAGCTAGACTTCGTCTCGCATTAATTCTGAACATTATTCTTATTACCAGCTTCACAAGTTTCCTTCAGCACATAATTAATAACATTAATGACATATAACAATTCAGATTCAACATGACATTTGATGAGATTAAAAATATTGAAATGAAATTCTTCTCCATCAAACTCCAAGATGAGTGTGCCATTTTTAACATCTATCTTTATTTCTACAGTGCATATGAAAGGTCTTCCTAACAAAAGAGGCGGTGGATTAAAGAAATGTGCATCATGCATATCTAGAATATAAAAATCAACAAGAAAAATTAAGTCATTCACTTGAACTAGTACATCTTCTATCATACCATTAAGATAAGCATTGGTTCGATCAGAAAGTTGAATAATAATTCCTGTTTCTTTTAGAGGCCCTAGATTTAAAGGGTCGTATATTAATCATAGCATGACATTAATAGTAGCTCCTAGATCTAGCATAGCCTTAGTTATCTCAGTTTTTCCAATCTTACAAACATACCTGGATCACCTGTTTTAGGTGGTACCTTTCTTTTGAGAATAGGAGAAACATTCTCATCCTCTATAATGTACTCATCTCCTCGCAATTTTCTCTTATTGGTGCACAGTTCTTTCAAAAATTTTGCATACTTGGGAATTTGGTTGATAGCTTCCAAGAGCAGGATATTAAGTTCCACCTTCTTGAATATCTCCATCATCTCTTTTTGTTTATTTGCCTTTTTTGGTTTCTTCAACCTATCAGGGAAAGAAGCCGATTTAGTTTCAGTAGAAAGAATAGAATTAGGATGTACCTTTTTGTGGATATCAGCCTCCTTCTCAATCTCATTTTCAATTTCCTCTTCGCTTTCCTCCTTTGAGATGGGAGTTGGACCATCCACTTGCTTCCAACTACAGAGTGTTATAGCACTCATATTCTTTGGATTAGGTCGGGAAGGACATTCAACCATCGTATCGCTGCAGATAGTGATGGCACTGACATTTGCTGGATTTGGCTTAGGCTGAGCGGGCCACTTTCCTCTTTCACGTAG